GACAACGGTTACGACGATGATGATGCTAATGAGGGTAATAAAGACGACGATAACGAGGCACTCTCATGATAACGAAAGGTTAATGAGTGGAGAATGCAACTGAATATTTCCATTGCAGAAGATGAATTGACTGAGCGTCCTGATTAAAGTTTTTTTATTATTATTATCATGGCAGTTAAAACAAAAGAAGTCTGATGAACGGACTAGAGAGGGAAAGATATCTATCTATCTATCTATCTCTCTCTCTCTCTCTCTCTCTCTCTCTATATATATATATATATATATATATATATATATATATATATGTATATATGTATGTATACATCTATATCTATATCTATATCTATCTACCTATGTATCTATCTATCTATCTATCTATATCTATCTATTTATCTATCTATCTATCTATCTATCTATATCTATCTATCTATCTATCTATCTATATCTATATCTATCTATATCTATATATATATATATATATATATATATATATATATATATATATATATATATATATATATATACATATATATATATATATATATATATATATATATATATATATATATTATATATATATATATATATATATATATATATATATATCTATATATATATATATATCCCTGCTTGCTTCGGTCTACTTGTTTGTGTGACATCATCACTATAGTTACTATATCCAGTACCATAATAACCATCGTGAATACCATTATAACTCTCACAATTCTAATTTCTGACAGGAGCAGACCTTAGTACTCAAAGAAGAGGAACCATTTCGAAATAAACAACAAGCCAGGTTATTGTATTCTTGAAGATGCTCATGATTCACCGACGACGGCTCAGACAGTGTTGATGGCTCAAGACGCAACACAACGTAATTGTGCTTTTGCCTGCAGCTTTTGAGCAACGGACGAAATTCAACATTCACGAAGGCAACGAGAACGATAGTGTGTAACGAAACGGACTCGTAACATCAAGGCTTGTGCATCCATCACGCTAAATTGGCAAGAACTAGACACGTTGAGTGCTCAGTGCATTCATTACCTGAGTAGAAGGCCATAAATATCCGGAATAGATGTAGCCTACTTGTTGCGTCACGTTCGAGGTTAGTAGACAGTAGAACACAAGTTGGATGGAATTAACACTGAGGTGCGTGTTTATGAAAGGAAAAAAAACACAATAACAACAACAACAAACGAATAAAGAAATGACAAAGGCGTGAGATAAGACTTAGAGAGGTCTCATTTTAACGTGACGTGAAGGGGTATGTTAAGTACTAATTATCGAGCAGGTAGCCCAGTGGAGAAGAAAGTGTGTGGTATGGGATGGTTCAAGTCGCCGAATCGACGATGTGCCGATTGTATTCTAATTTATAGTAGTATTGCTATTGATATATGTATATGTAGTCATATTTTCATACACACTCACTGAAAAACAAACACACACACACAGCCTCGCCCCCCCCCCACACACACATGTATATCTATGTATGTATATATTTATGTATGTATCCATGAGTGCACATAAAAGTGTAACATAGTCCTAATGCTACTACATCTATACCCATCACTTGTGTTTTGGTTTGGTCATATTCCTAAAAAAACAAAAACAAAAAAAAATAAATATAATATATATATATATATATATATATATATATATATATATATATATATATATATGTACTATCAACGACTACTCATCGCGAACCAACTAAAATGGAAAGGAAATGTAATAACCCCCCTTAAAAAAAAAAAAAAAAAAAAAAAGTGAAACAAGCATGTGCAACTCACGATTCGAGAGATAGCCGATTTCTAGAGCCAGCCACGTGACCTTGGCCCGTGGCGCATCTTCATTCTTTTCCCCTGAACTGTCTGGCCATCGCTCAGAGATGCCTCTTAACATGTTCTTAACATGCTGAACATTCTACTTGGGGGAAAGCAAAGTCGATAGCTTAAGCGGACAAATTTAAGAGAAGTCGACAGTCTGATGTAGCAAATTTCAGGAAACGAAGGCATGATGGAACAAAACTATAGAGATTCGACAGCCTGATGGAACAAATATAAGAAAGGTCGCAAGCCTTATTGAACAAAACTAAGGAAAGTCGACAGTATGATGGAACAAATATAAGAAAAGTCGAAAACTAAAGAAATTCGATAACATGATGGAACAAACATTTAAAAGGTCGACAGCCTGATGGAACAAAATTTAAAAAGTCAACAGCCTGACGGAACAAAAATAGAAAAGTCGACACCATGATGGAATAAAACTAAAGAAATTCGACAGCATGATGGAACAAAGCTAAGGAAAGTCGACAGCCATTGGAACAAAAATAAGGAAAATCGACAACTTTGATTGAACGAATTCAAAGACGACAGCCAGACAGAATACATTTAGAGAAAGTCGACATATTCCTTCAATAAATTTATAGAAAGTCGATAAACTGATATAATTAAATAAAAGAAAGTCGAAAGTCTGATGTAACAGAATTATTGGTAATCTA